CAGGGGTTTAGGGGCTTGGGGCTTAGGGGTTTAGGGGTTTAGGGTCAAGGGTTTAGGGTTTAGCGTTTTGGGGGCTTGGGGCTTAGGGATTTAGGGGTTTAGGGTGTAGGGTTTAGGGTTTTGGGGGCTTGGGGCTTAGGGATTTAGGGGTTCAGGGTTTAGGGTTTAGGGGTTTAGGGGCTTGGGGGCTTAGGGGTTTAGGAGTTAGGGCATGGGGTTTAGGGTTTAGGGGTGTAGGGGTTAGGGTGTGGACTTTAGGGTGTAGGGTTTAGGGCGTAGGGCTTATAGGGGCTGGGTACCCTAGCCCAAAATGGTTAACTTTTGAATTCTAGTAGGGTTATATCAGCCCCAAAAGGGAAGCTGGTTACCTACTCAGCCCTTAGAGAAAGGTATCAGAAGCTTAACGCAAGGGTACCTTAAGGGTACAAGATTAGTAGCAGGCCACCATAATGCTTGGTATGGAGCTTTTGGCAACATTACGGATCCCATCAGGAGTGCTTCGGGAAACGAGTTTTCTCGTGTGGGAACCTATTTCGGTCGCCATCCCCCCAGATTCTGCAAGAAGGCCAAAAAACAACAAACGACTCTTAGACCTCCAATGGCGCACTTTGCGACGAAAAGAGAGATGGGATGGAGTCTCTGAGCCTGGGACACTCATATCCCGACAGCTTGGACTCGTGCCCCTTACGGAATCCTACCCAAAAAGCAAAGAAAATGCAAACAAAAAACGGCCTGTCTAGAATAATGGGGAATTCCTACTCGAGGTTTACACAATGCGACACTCCTCGTCGGGCAATGCACGTAGAAGTTCGGCTTGTCGGCTATCGATTCTGGGCTGGTGATCGGCGTCCATGCCTTCCGGGACTACAGACTTAAGAGCGGCGCATAGGCTTTCAGTTAGCCTGGGAGTCTAACCGCTAAGAGAGTGGTGGGGTTTTTAAGGGACAATAGGAGGGACCCCTAGAAGGGACCCCTAATTAATACCCTATATAACCCTTATATACCCCTTATATAGTCTCATAAGGCCCCTATATAACCCCAAGAGTCCCTTTAAGGGTCCCTCCTTTAGTCCCTTGAAGGTTAGGCTCGAGGGGGAAGACATCTTCCAGTTGTGCAGAAACTCCGGGGCCGCTAGGATCCTGAAGATTCCTCCTTGGTCTTGCGTCTGCCTACTAGCAGCGTTTAGGGTCTAGGGGTGTAGGGGTGTAGGGTTTAGGGTGCAGGGTTCCGGTTTCAGGGTGTAGGTTTCAGGGTTTAGGTTTCAGGCTTTAGGGTTTAGGGTTTAGGGTGCAGGGTTTCGGTTTCAGGGTTTAGGGTTTAGGGCTTAGGAGGCCCATGACAGCTTTTTCATATAAAGCCTTCCATCTCTGGGACCTGTGCCTCGAACCAGCAGGTCGACTCAAGCATCAGCGTTTTGGCCATCAGGGTCTTGCCTAAGGGATTTAATTTCAGTTGCGACAATGAGGAAACCGTATTATTTATTATAGATCCCTATTATGGTAACTTAAATTAAATTCCTTAACAAGAACCCAGTTTTGGCCATCAGGGTCTTGCCTAAGGGACTAGAGCTTCCGGCTGAAGTGAAGGAAAGTGGGGCTTGGGGCTTCATGTCAACTGCGGGTTTGCCTTTAGGGTTTAGGGTTTAGGGTCTAGGGTTTAAGGGCTCAGGGTTTGGGCTTAGGGTTCAATCTCATCCCGCAAACATCAAGCATGAACCCATTCAGATTGGCCGCAGTCCGGAGCTCCTACCACAAACAAAAGCCTCATGCGCAAGCGGTGTAGGGTTTAGGGTTTTAGGGTTTAGGGCATTTGCTGTGAAGTAAGAGCTTGTGAGCAAATCTCGCGCAATTCGTTGGCCTTCTCCTCGTTCTCGGGCGTTCCCAGGAAAATGGTATGGTGGCCTTGGCACCCGATGGGGCTTCGGGCTTCTGAAAAGCTCGAGGTAGCACTTGAGGTTGCAAATTTTCTGTGCCTGAGCCCTACACCCCAAACCCTAAACCCTAAACCGTATTTTCTGTGCCTGAGGATGTCCTTCCTTCCTGCTGCTGCGACGTCGACGACCACAACACTACTGCCCGAGGATGGAATACGGTTGATGATGTAAACCCTGCATTACCCATAATAAGGAATATACCATAATTCCCATAGTTTAGGGTCCTTCAGGTAATGCAGGATTTTTATCATCAACGGTATCAGAAGGAGGACTCAGGATTGAGGCTTAGGCATGCCGGTGTTCACACCCGTGCTCCCAAACCCTCAAGCCACCTGACCCGAAACCTCAAGCCTGCCAACACCCCCCAGGTAATATAAGGGCCTTAATAATAAGAAAAAAGTTTTGGGGTATATTATACTATCATCATAAGAAGGAACCCCCCCCCCGGCAAATAGTAGAAGTACTTATTTAGGCCCCGATAGTAACCCTAAACCCAGAAGCCTCCCACTTCTGCTTAGGCCCCGGACGGAGGTAGTCCACCTTGCAATCCACAGCCTGGTCTCCCGTCTCACACAAAACTCCGTGGCGGTTGGCTTTTGGGTGAAGACTTGTGTTTACACTTTCGGATCTAAGAGCTGCAGCTTAGGCTTAGACTTCAGGAGCTTTACAAGTTAGGGTCTAAGAGCTACAGGATAGGAATTAGAGCTTGGGCTTTTGAGTTTGAAGTATCGCAGCTAAGTGATGCTCAGAGCACCGTGTCGGGGGTGTCCTTTCTAGCGAAGAGACAGCTCGCTAAGGGTACCTTCTGCAAGGGGTTCCTATTCAAGGACAGCGTATAGGGTCCTGGCTAAGTTTTTTGACAGGAACACCCTGGTAGCCTCAGCTATCCTCAGGCGCTAGCCCAGAACATCGCGATCACGCCGCAGGAGTATTCCTCGGGCACTGCAGGGGATCGTGGAACTTTGCTTGGGGTTTTAAGGGTCTGGGGATTAGGGATCTGCAATTCTCTCGTGAAGGCTTCTGGGGTTAGAGTTAATTGAGGGGCAATTAGTGCGGTAGTTTCCGGTTATAGGTTATGTGCTAGACAACCGTCATGGTATGTAAGCAAGACCCCGATGACAAGATGCTTGAGATGCATCCTCCAAGCACCAAGTATGTCCCTGCACGTCTGTCTTGGAAGTGCGAAGCGCCAGAAACCCCAAACCCAAAATCCAAAACTTCAATACATAAGTCTAAACCTGAACTTCACTCCTGTGCAGTGTAACATTGCTGGCCATCTGGCCATGGAGGCACCGGACATCAATCCCAAACCCTAAACCCTTCAAAATGTCAGCGACGCACCACAAGCCTGAAGATTCTGCTTAAGGCCAGGAACCCGTCCATCCAAGTCTGCCGCAGTTGCCTCGACACTGGGCTCCTCTAGCCAGGAGTTTCGTGCGTCAGCGGTTTAGGGTTAAGGGTTTAAGGTTTAGCAATAAGACTGCAGAACCCAACCTAGCAGCAGCAGCAGAAACGGCAGCAACAGCAGGACGGTGGCCGTCGTGCTGGGGTGCAACAGCAGCAGCAGCAGCAGCAGCAGCAGCACGAGCCAAGACATAGTCGATCCCAGACACGGAGTCTTGCGATCTAGATTAATGAACCGATATTACAGGGGACTTAGTACATGGAAGGGGTTTTGGGGCATATTAGAGTATGGATACGATAGGGAAGCCTAGCGAATGATGTCGGTAATCATTCCGACCCCTGTATTATGATCTTCCGTCGTCCACAACATACGACCCGATGTACAAAGGAAAGACCTGGTTTAGCAATTTTAGGGTTTAGGGCGTAGGGATTTGGTTTTAGGGTTTAGGGTTTTGGGTTTAGGGTTTAAGGTTTTTCTGTCAAAGGTCCAATAAATACTAGGCCGCAGCAAACGACTAACTCGGACATGTGGCGGTTGCTCCAAGTACAAATCCCTGAGGGAGGGTTCTGGGGTGTAGTGTAAGGTCTAAGTACCTGTGGGGCTTGGACTCAGGAATACGATAAGACTTTCCATGACACGACCTTTCCTGCGCACCGTAAAGGCTATTGGCAAAACTATATGAACCCTAAACCCATGTAGAACCTTACCGAAAAAACCAGTGAAAGAAACCCCTCTCGAAAAGAAAATATTGTAATATAGAAACCCAGATACAAACGGTTCAGGAACCCCCCCTCTCGCAACGAAAGGTTACTGCAAGTTTTAAGGTTTGCTAAGCCATCATAGGGGTATCAGGCTTGATCTTTCCACAAGGCTTCTCTAAGGTTTCTGTCGGATTTTCTATGATTCTATGACTAAGGGTCCAACAAGCATCCCGTAAGGCTTCCTAAGGGGTTTCGGGTTTTAGAGACTTTGCGTTCAGGGCTTGTGACAGAAATCCGGCGAGCGCTCTCCGACCTCGAACCGATAGCCTCACCCACAACGGGTTTTGGGCTTAGGGCTTAAAAAAAGATCAGAAACTGAAACACCCATCTTATTCTTATTATGGAAGTCCCAAATCTCATTATCGTGGGCTCCTGCAGAATCCTAAACCCTAAACCCTAAACCCTGAACCCTATAAGCCCTAAAACCCTAGATCTCTTTACACGCACAACCTCCTCTACTGAGTTCGGGCCCTCTCGTTTAATCCTGTACTCTCAGCTCTAAACCTAAAACCCCGAAGCCTCAACTCAGGCTTCAGCTCTCGACTCCCAACCCCAACCCGAAGGTTTAGGGTTTAGGGTTTAGGGTTTAGGGTTTAGGGTTTAGGGTTTAGGGTTTAGGGTTTAGGGTTTAGGATTTAGGGTTTACCTTATCCCTATCCCCTAAACCCTAAGACGTTCCCCATAGACCTAATGTTGCGGAATACTTCTCCCCTAAACCCTAAACCGTTCCCCATAGACCTAATGTTGCGGAATAGAGCTCCTGGGGGTCCGCAGGTGCCTTGCGACGCAGTTTTCAAGGAGGCTTCGGCTTTGGGATACTTTTGGAAAACGCGGGGGTGCCTAGATATGGGTCCTTGCAAAGAGGGCCCTACGATGCGATCTAGGGCTCTACCTTAGGGTCCCTTGCTTTCTGAAACGATACCATCTAGGGCTCTACCTTAGGGAAGAAAAAGAAGAACCTCCCATGTCGGGTTTGGAAGTTAAGGTTTAGGGACCTGGAAGTGCTGGAGGGCCTTTTTCTTTAATCAGAACACTCGAGGGTTTGGGCTTTGGAATGCTGGGCTGCTTCCCGCTTAGGGCCCGTGGCACAAGGCTTGGGACCTTCAGCTGAGGTCGTAGTTGACAGTGATAGGAACCAACATTCCACTACCCCGACCATCGGGGTCAGGAAAGTTTCATCCGCTTAGAGGACATGCCGAAACACGATGCGATATGCGATAAGTCGATGACTTCCCTAGAACAACTTTGACATATCGCCTTGCATGGAATGTCGGAGTTACCTGCGGCGCCCCGCTGCCCCCAAGCCACCTGCAACACCAAACCCCCACGGGCACGTGAGAAGGAACACCTCCACCGCACCAGCCCTCAGTCAGAACTTCTCCCGAACCTTTAGAGGCAAAAACACCCAGTTTCCTCAGATGCGGAATCCCAGAAGCCTCCGAAATACAAAACCCTAAACTCCAAAAGCTCTACATGTGCAGAATTAACGCCCAACACAAATCAAAGCCAAACCCGAGCCCTAAACCCTAAACCCCCTAAACCCTCATTAAAAAAAAAACCTTAAAGGAACCCCTTGAAGGAAGGGCGCAGGCCTGTACATTGTGAAGCAGGTTCTTGTATGCCCACGGCGTGTCGGCATTTACCACGACGACGTCGGCCTTCCTGGGCGCCCGGACTCTGACACCCCGGTTTCAGGTTTCTGTCTATCCTCCGATAGCCCTAGGTCATTCAAGGCCTTAAAGTGCAACAAGAGAGTACCCGCCTAAAGTCCGAATCTCAGCAAAGAATCTCTTCCTCTCCGCTTTTCAGGCGGATGCCCACAGCCTTGCCGCCCTCTACCAGAACCTGCAGCTCAGACACCGAAACAAGGCTTTACTGGTCAGAATACAGTTCTTGGGGTCTTGGGCTTGGGGTTTTGTGCTTTTGGGGATTTTGAGTTCCGGGGTCCTGGATTTTGGTGGTTTGCGGGGTTTCGGGTTTGGGGGTGTTGAGTTTTGGGGGTTTTGGCTTTTCGGGTTTAGGGTTTAGGGATGTTTAGGACATGGTCTAGGGTGCCGGGTCATAAGACAGTTCTAGCAGGGTGTCACGGACACAAGACCTACCGTGATCCGCCATTTCCCTTCGATTGCAGTGTCGGGGCTCAGAGTTTGAGCTTCTTGACAAAGTTATCTACATAGTAGGAAAACATCCCCCGTAACCGTACCTAGGAGCGTTTAGCTGTGTGCAGGTGTGCAGTTTTGGACGGACCGGGGGGGGGGGGGGGGGNNGGGGGGAAATGGCCGCAGCCTGGAAGTTGATTCAAACTACTTGCCGCATATCACAACATGTGTCAGGATGCAGGGGGAGGGTCTGAGTCGGAAGAACTCCAAACCCTAAGAACTGAACCTACACCGCAGACCTAGCCACAAATACTAGCCTTCCACAAAAAAAAAAGAGATAATTAAGCCCATCTGAACGATCTGCCACGGGCCTCGTCTACCTCTGCACCCGTCTTTATCTCCACGCCGTGGCCCTCTGCGAGGGAGGCGAGCGTGTTCTTCACGCCCTGCCACCCTGCGGTTTAGGGTTTTAGGTTGAGGGATTGTGGGTAGGGGTGTTACGAGTCCAGGGTTTCTGCAAGATCATAAGCCCTGAACGTAAAGACATGTTGAAACTGAAACACACATGTCACGACGCAGGACAATCACAGAAATCTCTGCAAGCCTCAACCTTCCACGAAGCCCCACCCTAAACCCTAAACCTCAAAAACCCCAAACCCTAAAGCACAAACCCTAAACCCCAAACCCTATACCCTAAACCCTAAACCCCAAACCCTAAACCCCACTTCGAACACCTTCATCCGACAGCAGATCCAAACCCGAAGTTCGAAGCCCCAAAATCCTGATCCGGAAAGCACAGAAACTGAAACCCCCTAAACCCTGAACCCTGAAGGGTTAAGGGTTTAGGGTTTAAGGTTTTAGGGTTTAGGGTTTAGGGTTTAGGGTTTAGGGTCGAGGCTTAGGGTTTAAACCCTAAAGTCCTCAAGCCCTAAACCCAGCCCTAAGATGGAGCCTCCCACGGGGTACCAAACGCCATCCGTGAGGTCCGTGCCCGCCAGCAAGCAGAGCGCCCCCGGGGAATTGTAGGGAGTCAAGCCAACCTCAGGAAGTTAAGTTTGGGGTTTACGGTTCAGGGTTCAGCTCAGGGCTCAGGGTTTGAGGCTTAGGGTATAGGGTTTAGGGTTTAGGCTTCAGGGGTTTAGGGTTTAGGGTTTAGGGGTTTAGGGTATCGGGTTTAGGGTATAGGGTTTAGGGTCTAAGGCTCAGATTTTAAATAGGGCTCGCGCATCTGATGCGGCTCTTGTGATATGGGGGCCTCTTGGATTTGATATAAGGCCCTGCATAGTATGCGTAGATGGGGACTTTGAGGGAATGTTGCAAACAGGTATATGCTTTATGCCGTGATTACGACTGGAAGTGATGTTTTGACTGCGATGGTGATGATGAGGAGGGGGAGGAGCACCCTAAACCCTAAACCCTTATCAATCCTAAACCCTAGGCCCGAAATCCTAAACCCGAGGAGGAGGAGGAGGAGGACAGCGAGTTTCGAATCAAGAACCTTGGAGCCCTGAACTGAAGGAGACACTCCAAGCCACTACACCCCAAGTGTAAGCCCAAAAACCTAGACGCTGAAACGCTTTGGGGTGTAGAGTTTAGGGTTTAGGCAGTGCCACCCACCACTCATGATCAAAGAAAATAGGAGTCATGAGAAGTTTGGGCTAAGGTCTGAAGGAGCGTTAGCACCTAAATCCCGACAAGCCTCTACAGAAGACCAGAAGCCCGAAATTTTGGCCCTTACCACCCCCCCCCACCCTGCCCTTCCTTCAGGAATCACATGCAGCGCAAGCAGCGTAGAGGGTCTGGAATGTAAAGATTGCTCGCAGTCGGTCGTCCTTGAACCATGACTTCATCAAGTCATCGACAGAGAACAGCCTTAGCTTGCACATGCGACTGACACCCCTGATGCACCCCAACCCTGACGAAAACATTATGAACATCTGAATCTGTATGAACCGAACGAGCTCGAGAACGACCATTGAACTGCACCCCTGACCCAAAAACTCTTTGAGCTTTAAGCCGACAGCTAACCACAATCCCAGATTGTGGTGCGGCCCGACTGCCAAAGACCCCAACCTACCAACTGCCTATTTTGAGGTGGTTGGTTGATTCTCTTCTAAAACACTTCATTCGGCCAGTTCCCCCCAGGAGAGAAATGGCAAGCTGGCTCATCATCTTTCCGGCCATTACACCTGAGCTTCATGCCGCGCGGTCCTTCGAACCCTATAGTAAGCCTCATAACAGCCGATGAAAACCCAGCAAACCCCCTCAACAAGCGTGTCTTTTATGCGGGTTTTAGTCTCAGGGTCCGTGGCGAGGGAGGTTCCAATAGATTCATGTACACCCTAAACCCTTAAGCCCTTAAACCAACGAACAGCACTGCAACCCCAAACCCTGCACCCTCAACCCCAACCCCTCAGCCCTGACCCCTCAGCCCTTACCCCTAAGCCCCAAACCCTAAAGGAAGCAGAGGAGCATGTTGATCAATGGGATGGAGAACCAGCCTCCATTCGATGCCGAGCTTCTGAATGACTTGCCGTAGGTAAAGGTTTAGGGTTTACTTGAAGGATCATGGGACTTAGTAAGTAAGGTTATAAGTACCCTAATTGGGTTTATAAGTATTTATAAGTATAGTACCTTATCTATAACCCTAGTTACTAAGTCCCATGCAAGGGTTTCTTTCCTGAGTCCGAAATCTAAACCGTAAGCTTTAAATCCTGATACCCCCAGAAAAACCCCAAATTTCACAAGCCCCCAAGCTCAAGCCCTAAACCGCCATACCTCAAACCCCGAAGCCCCAGGCATCAAATTCAAAACCCGGAGTCCCACCCTAAACCCTACTTAACGGATCAGGAGCCGCTTCATTCCTTGAAGGGTTGTATTACAAGTGGGCATCGCTTTAAAGATCCACTCCCCAAGCCACAACCCTAAGCCTTAAACACATATTCAACAAACTGACCCCTGCACGACGACCCTGCTAGAAGCCCCAAACGCACCCAAAATCCTTCACTTCCCGCCCGCAAACTCCCACAAAAGCTATAAACTCTACATCCTCTAAGCTGCCCTAAACCTGAACCTTGGCCGAGACCACCCAGAGTTAAAGCCTACTCCTTCTGGCTTGGATCCACGCCAAATCTCGATACCAGTGGAAACCCTAATTAAACCCGAACCCGAAACCGTAAACCCTAAAACCCGAAACCCGAAACCCTAAACCCGAAACTCTAAACCCTAAAACCTAAAACCCAAAGCCCTAAAACCCTAAACCCTAAAAACCGAAATCCTAAAACCCGAAACCCTAAAACCCTAAAACCCTAAACCCAAAAACCCTAAAACCCGAAACCCTAAAACCCGAAACCCTAACTCCCAAAACTCGAAACCCTACACCCGAAACCCTAACTCCCAAAACTCGAAACTCGAGCGAGGC